GACATTTGTGTTTGACTTTGTCTAAGCTAATTTGACTACTACCTATACAAGTAATGTTATCATTAATTAGTGTGCCTTAATTCTTAATCTATGTTGGTGACCAATAACTCCGTTACAACTTAGAAATCATTACTTTAAGATGTCTCATTACCTGCCTTGCACCTACCTAGGCTTTGTGTAATTCTCTAATCCTTCGCTTATTCATTCATGTATGACGTAACATAGCAAATCAAAAGCTTGTGAACTACATACTCTAGTTTTCAAACTGAATGCTGTAAAAAATAACAAATCTAATTATATTTTCTACTTTTAACCTCTTATTACTCCGTGTACATATATACAATTTTTACAGACATGCATAATACTTCATATTTTTCTATAACTTCTTTTAGATATAATATTAGCTTAACTATAAAAAATAATTGTACTCGATACTTGTAAAGATTACGAGTATTATATTAATATTGTAACTTAATGTATTATATACATCTTTTTTTTTTTGTCAATTGTACCTTTTTGATGGAGCAATTGATCTCATATCACGGATTTTTTATTTTTCACTTGAATCCTCTTCACTGAAGAAGTAAAGAGAGTGAAGCATAATTAAGGAAGAGGATTTATCATATATATTACTAGGATGACATTGTGAACAAATGTCATCAAATTAAAGATAAATATTGTACTTTAATTATTTTTGTACGGGATATTAATTAATGATGAAAAGGCTTTATTTATGAATAGGTTAATTAGAATGATTCCTCATGTGTATGTGTAGTCGAATTTCCTAACAAACAGAAGAATAAAACTTTCCAATGGCCATCAAAAATTGAAACCTTTAGCTAAAAAGTTGACATGATTGGTTTCTCCCTTAATACGAGGGGCTTGACTCGCTTTCATCCAAGCATAAGTATTTAGTTTTGTGTCGGAAGGCCGGTTTATTAGAAACATGATTAACAAATAATTATACGACATTAATTAATTAATTAATTATGTAATTGCAGGGCAAGGTATCTCAATTAAACTATTTAGAAGGATGTGACTTTATGTACTTCTCTTACTAGCCACATGGCATAACCTTCGACCCATACCCCATGCAGGTTGATGTCGTAGAAAATCTTAAACTCTTGATTATACAATGATGGTCGTATTATTAATCAACTAATTTAATCCGATACAAGTACAATTGTAAGATATTCAATCTGATGATGTGTATTTTGAAGCGCGGATTCATATTTTTATTTGGCCGTGACTTAATTAGCTTAACCACCCAATTAAGCGTAGCCAATCACGTACATTATTGATGATAATTATAATTTATAATCATGTTTTTGCTGTTTTAAGTTGGGGCAAGTACTGATACATGCCTAATTAGTAATTAGTTCCCGGTCTGAGATAAATTAATTGAAAAAGGTGATACAATTATTAATTAGTAGAAAGATGCCTCTAAAAGAATGAATAAAATAGTGAAAAGTATGGTCAAAATCCAGATGATTGAGTTGACTAATGAGGCGGTTTAGGCATTATTAAATTTGTGTTTAGACTGCTTTAGAGATAAAATAGCTGGGCAGGGAAGACAGTTTAGTGTACATTTACCAAACATGCACGTGCACTTAGCCTTTGACAGTAACTTTGAGGGTCAAAGGTTTGTGTAAGATTGGTACAAGACCCGAAGAACCTACTACCAACAACACAATAATAGAATTCATAAATCCGACTACTTTTTAGTCATACCTATTTCTTTCTTAGCTTGCACCTCACGGCTTTTTTTTTAAAGAGGAGAAGCTTATCGGCTTCACTGTTACATCAACTATTGTCTATTGAATTGATTCAACGTGTCTGGCTCTAATGCCCTATGGAATAAACACTTTGCACTACGACCTTATTATTATCCCGACTAGTAGACTGAACTATTAAATTTATCTTATCTTATCTTATTGTCTACGTCATACCTTTTACATTATTTCATTTATGCACATTGAGTAGCACTATTATATGATGTTTTTCTTTTCAATATATTATATATGTGTTTTTAAATGAATTAAAGATTATTAGAGAAGTGTTATGGGGTCATGGTGACTAAAATGAAAAATGTGTTGTGCAATGCACCATTGCATGTTTTATTGGTGGATATGTAATCCAACAAATAGCATTTGGACAGTCAATCTACAACGAATAATTGTACCAAACTATTTAGAGGTCAACAAATGAAGTAGCAGTACTATAATCCTTAGCTTGACGCATATAATTTGTCCCATGTTTTCAACAACCTTTTCTAATTGTTAGACTCCAATGCTCCCATCCCCATCCATGTCCATATAATTGTAAACTCATATCTAGATGCTTTACTTTTTATTATCACAATTATTATGTCAAACTCTCTCAGTACTATACACATAGCTATTAGCCTATTAGTCGTTGAAATTCCATATACTACGTATATAAAACATAACAACCATGAGATAAGTGTATTAGACTGTAGTATGATCATATAATATGTTGTTGGATTTGTCATTATGTCTACTTTTATAAATTAATTTTTTCATAATTTTTACTAACCTTTAATTAAAAATATTAATGGTCAAAGTTGTGTCTCGACAAATATGCAACTCTATCGCTAGATTATTTAAAAAACGGAGGGAGTATTTCATATACTATAAGGTTTGTAAACTTGTCACATCATCTATGATAAACTAATATTGTGACATGTCAAATATAATAATAGTGGAGTAATATGTAATGGTGAGACTACAATGATGTGCAATTTCTGTTTAAAAACAGTGTTTGTGTCTCAATAATGTGGAAAATGAAGGAGATAGGCGAGATTGGACCGAAGCACGGGCTGGGCCAATAATTAAAAAAAAAAAAGAGAGAGAAAAGAGTTGTAGTTGGAAGGAATGATAGGAATATGATGAATAGACCAAGCAAGAGAAGTTGGGTTTCCAGAAGAAGCAACAGCCAACAGGGCAGGCCATCAGTACACACATGACACTATCTCAGAGACTCAGGCTAATCTATTTTACGACTACTGCTTTATTGACCATCCACCATTACCCATTCTCTTCTGATTGTGACTTCTTTGTAGGGGCCGGACGTTCTTCTAATAACCGACTTTGACATATTGCTAATTTACGTAGGAATTGAACTGAATTGAATAGAATTAAAGAGGACGTAAGTTTGCACCAATAATAGCATTGCCGACGAATTTATTATCTTTTATTTTTGTTCAAAACACGTACAGCGGCAAAGATCCTTAACTTTAACTTAGGCAGCGACTTCTTTTATTAATTTTCCAGCAGTACATATGTTCGTAACAACTACGACTAGCTAACGTGTTTACCCATGATACAATATTATTTATTAATCAAACTTGGATTGATTCATATAATAACATCATTTTTAGTCAATAAAGAGGTGCTGATTTGGAGCAAAATATTCAAAACTTGCTAACCCCTTTTATTTATTCTCGAGAAGAATATCACGTCAATTATCAATTATAGTTCCACCACCCCCACCTTTTCCGATTTCTTGGCCATGCAGACTTGTTCCACTATTTTATTAGCTGCTCCTCATCAATTTGCCTATTTTTATTTCATATATATATATATAGAAATACATACTATGTATTACAGAATAAGTGTAACAGACTAATGTGATAGTAAAAATGTTGTGTTTGTCCAAAATAGCGAAAGTGAATACATAAATAATTCACCTGTTGATGAAAAATTGATGGGCAAAAGGGTGGAATTTACCTATTGTTTCTCTTAAACTGGCTAGCTTGATTGTAGAAAAGTAAAGAAGTTAAAGAGTGGTCCATTAACTTGGTACGTAAAGATATAGAGTATTATTGGAATCCTAGCTAGGAACTCATTTTTGAGTTGATTGGTGTTCTTTGAGGCCATTTAATTTGAACCATATGCAGCATATTCGATTGATTAATTAGTGTGTGTCAATGACATTGACTTATTAACCTCTTTTCAATATTCTTGATATATCATAATCTGGAAGGTAATTGCTAGTGATTAAACAATGAAAGTCATTGTTATTAGGAGAGAACAATTATCAGTCAATGTCTAAGTCACCGTGTATATTTTCTAGAACAAATTGTAAAATAGACTTCATACTTTACTCCACAAATCAAAGAAGCAGAAGTACACTATCTTTGTAGAAAAGACTAGACATTTATCAAAAGTTTTTAACTTTTTTAGGGAAGTTACAATGTTTTTTTAAGCTTACTTTGGTGGTCAAGTTATAATTACTTTGTATTATACTGTGTCTATGACATGTTATATTAGGAAAATATAGGTAATATAAAGTATAATTAGTATTTTTTTTTTTCCAAATTGAAGAATAAAAAAATGTAAAGAACAAAAAGGATCACTTAAAAGTGTTTCATTATTTAAAGATCGAAGGTCGAATCAGCTGATAAAGATATGTATGAATGTATAGACATTGAAGTTGACGCTCATACAACTACTAATTGGGTGCATGATGAGCAATTAGCTTACCTTACAAAAGCGCTTGGAATGATAAATATTGATGTCTATTATAATTGGCACGACATATTATGGAATTTTGTAGTCATGCACAAATTTCACTTGCGATTGGAGAAGAGGTTAGTCACTAGTTTGAGATTATGTTACATCAACTTAGCTATTTAGGTGGGGTTTAGCTTTTTGATTATCTATTGCTATTTTTTTGTTTTAAAAAAAAAAAACCAATTAGTACTCCGTATCTAGTTAGATGTTAGGCTTACCTATTTAGAGTGGATCTTGCAGGTGACTAGATTTAATTAAACTAGTCTTCTGCTCCATGCAATGCACGGGTTATTTCTATAAAACTGTATTGAGAGATAAGTGAGGAATTATCAGTAAGTCATTATAGGGTATAATATGACTTACTGATAATTCCTCACTTATCAGGTAATTTAATTAAGCGTGTATTGAAGATAAGCATTTTTAATTCTTTGATTTAATTTTTTTGATCACCCATATAATACTCCGTATAAAAAAGTAGTATTATTATGTAAGAGATTAAAGTATTATTTGATGGATGTTCATTTGAAGGTCTTATGAGCTGAACAATTTCAAAATAAAACAAGGAAATAAGAAGTTGTTGATGATGAAGTTTGTACATTTATTGGTCACGTTGATGGGCTAATTAGCCAAGTGTCGGCTTCAATATAATAAGTCCCAATGAAGGGCTGAGCCTCTTTGTCTGTAAGGACCCGAGACCAAGGTACACGGCCCGTTATGTTGGATCCAGGCCCAATGCATTTGTATTCTCCGTAGTAGACCATCCTGCAAATCAATTATAAAAGTCATTCCGTGGTAAGGTAACAAGACACTATTTAGTGATAAAAATAGGACAATGCATTATGCATGTAAGAACTTACGAATCACGATTAGATTTGCCCCAGTCGTTCCAGCCGAGAGGGTTAACAAGTTTGTCGAGGAAAGAGAAAGAGTAAACGACCCTGGAATAATCACCCCATGCTCTGCCCAAGTAAACCTTACCACTTCCAGTTACCTTACAATCTTTGAATGAAAATCCACTTGACATTGATGTCTTACTCCTCTTTTGGGCCGTTACGGATGCTACCTTCTTTGCTACCGAGTTTAATGTACAATTCTGTATAGTAGTAACGCATACAATACCACCACATTGTTAAATTATTTCCTTAAATTAATGTATAGTAGTAACGCATACAGTACCACCATATTGTTATATTATTTCCTTAAATTAATGATAGTATATTAGGATCAAATTAAATAATAAAAAGTAATGACCTCGTATAATGATCTTCCATAGCCAAAAATGAAGTCAACCGAGCCTTGAATAAAACAATTGCGGAAATAGTGAAGGCCTTTGTGATCATATAACGTGTCTTGTGACCCATAAAACCTACATTCATAAAATGAGGCTTTGCTGCCTGATATTCTTAGTGCCACTGCTTGCTCCCCCACTGAACCTACATTATGTGCTGCTGTGTTCTACCCACGTCCATATATATATAAGTCATTATTCTGCTTTATGTCAAATCGTTGCACATAATCTGTAACGGAGGTATTAGGAGATTTCATATACTATACAATAATAATAAAGTCCTCACCTCAAATATTATATTGGAGGCTATGAAATAATCAGCATCCACAGCGACGGTAGCACTCTGGAAGGTGCTCAAGGGCTTGCCATCTCCTCGGGTCGACGAGGCCGAGTCATTCCCGGTTATGATGGGTGGGTTATCCGGGTCTCCCATAAAGGTTATGAATGGCTTTGTTTTAGGAATGTGTATCTTTTCCCTTCAATCATATATATCACATTGCTTAACTTTTTTACTTAAATTAATACTAGTAAATAAATCACTAGCTAATAATTAGGTACATGCAAAGAATACATAGTATGAAGTAAGCATATTATTATCCGCAAAATGCACCTGCATACATTGTCCTACCATATTAACCTAACATATCAAATAATTAACTATGAAAGCCAAAAGGATTAATTAGAATTGAATGTTATTAAAATACTTGTAGTAATTTTTAGTTTCATATAGCATAAATTAGGGTATTATTTTGCTCAATCATTTACATACCCAAATAATATATGCAAATTAAAGAAGTTTAAACCAACGATTAACATTGATCAAATTATATAGTCTATGTATGTCATACCTATAAACACCAGGCATGATATGTAAGATGAGTCTCCTAGTGTTACGTATTGGAACACTGTCAATAGCCTCAGTGATGGTTTTGTAATCACCTGTTCCATTTAGATTGACGGTCCATCTTACTTTATTAGTCTCAGCATTTTCCAGCCTCACATCTAAAGTCTTGGATGGAGCACCCGATGCACCGGCGGCGTTTGGCTGTGGATTAGCTAGGGCCAGCCTCCTCAAGTGGTGGTTTTGGACATTCCATAATAACCACTTCTCATACTCTTGCTGTGAAGTGGCGTAACCCCGTGTAATAATAATATGTTGTAGTAGAGATAGAAAGAAGAGAGGGAAAAGAGGAAAGATTTGGTGTTTCTTTGGAGCCATGAAAATAATGTTGTTGGTAAGTGGAAGCAGCTAGTGTGAGATGAAGGGAGATATGCACTCTATCTATATAAGTAGTACTAATAGTTCAAAAAAAAAAAGTAGTACTAATATAATATCTACTTTTTGCTAAGGTGCTTGCATTATTGTTATTTTATTATATTTATTTTTGTATTTATACAAATGTACATGCATATTTATATTTATATTGTAGTAATCATATCTAGTTATCTACACATATATGTTAAGGTGCACTAGTTTTATATATGGACCCTTGTACAATGTGTATAAACCAACCACACAATTCAAATGGCTGGTTTATTATCAGTTCCTTCCAGCTATACTCAAGTCTTGTAGGTCCTCCAAGAAAGATGGATGGAGTTGACATCATCTTTTGTGTCATGTTTACTTCATCATAAACCTATGTACACTATTTTTCTTGCTTAAGGCTAGTGGCGGATCTTGATTGAACATATTATTGGAGATGTTCCGTATGAACTTTCTAACCTTTAGCTCAAAATTAATCAGAACATACGCTGCAACATTAAGTATATATCGAAGTAAAATAAGGCTAGAAAACCCATCTGCCGAGTGGGGCTGGGGGGAGCAATGAGCAATACTTCATGCTTGATCTCTACAATTAATTAGACATAAGTTATCAATTGGCAAATAAAGTATATGTGATTGGTTTTACTAGTGCTTGTAGTTAATTACTCCGTAATAGATTTACAAAATTAGAATGAACTAAAATAATAAGAGCCACTAAAATGTATGCACTTTCTAAGTTTGTATAGTTCACTTGTAAAATTAAGTCTTGAATAATATAGTCAGGACGTACAGGTTGATGCATATATTTTATTTCTCTTTGACATACAGTTTGACATTAGCATAGCATTGGGTATATTAACTGTAGACCATTATTTCTTGCTTGTATCCAACAATTGACTTTTGTTGTTGTTGTGGTTGATGATGATGAAGAACAACATTAGCTCCAAATTCAAAAGTTATACTCAAAGGTATCGTAATACCCCATCGTATAGTAAGTATGTCCCATAAATCCAACTTGCTTGTCATCAGTTGTCAATTGTCGGTGTTGAAATGCTATCTTGCTGCATGCATCTTATATAAACTTCTAGTTTGTCTAAGATTTATTCATCAGTATTTGCTTGAGAATAGTTTAGATGATAAAATGAACTATGTTTGGATCATTTATAAAACTCTTAATTTATACAGATTGCAAAGTTTCTTTCTAACATACAAAGTACCGGCCTATATTATATAATGTAAAAGTACAAATTATGCCGTGGTAACTAGTAAGGATCTTTATCCCTTAGCTTATTTATTACAGAGTATCTAACTTGGCTAATTAATACTTGTTATATTAAGCTATATACTTCGTATTACTATGACTAACTTGTAAAAACAAAAATATTGTTGTTGTTATGATCAGTTGTTTTCAAGTGTTTAATTATGCAAGGTTTCCCAGAGTAACATATTATCCTCATCATTTAGAGTCATCTCCCTTAAATAGTCATTGATATGATCCCAATTTTGATCCAATTCAACGGATGAACCGGACGCTGGTGAAATATGGGCCTCGCTTGAATCCGTTGAGACATTGGGCTTTGGACACAGTTCAGGCGGCCCAACCATAAAAGAGTTTTGAGTCCATGATGAATGTGTAGTATTAAAGAAACAGCAATTATCTGATGAGATAGTGCTGGTGCAAGTGTTGAGTCCATCAAAAAGGCCATTTCCAGAGTGAAAAGTTGGGCCGTGAATAAGGGGTTTTGTAGTGGTTGATGATGTCGTAGCACCAGCCTGAATTTGTTCAACTAACCTCGGAATCCAAATGTTTCGTAAAGCATTTCTGAATTGAGGGCTATTAACGTGGCAATGAAAGTGCCTAGCAAGCTTTTGAACCTTGGTTCTCCAATAATTCTTTATCTCATTATCTGTTCTTCCTGGTAGATGTTGAGCTATCTTTGACCACCTACACATTACATAAAATTATTATTGTAACAATGGACTAATGGTAGGTATATGTCAAATAGATATGATAGAAGCAATACCACAACATTAATGACATAGAAATTCCTAGCACTATTACATAGACCACTGATATATGCATGGATTGTTGCATACCTCTTGCCGCAACTAAAGTGAAGCTCAAGAATTCGTAGCTGTTCGTCCAGGGACGACGTAAGTCTGGACGTAAATAGTTTAGCCACCTTAACCTACAACTTTTGCCTGATCGCTTCAGCCCTGTGGATTCGTATGTCAATATAACAGAATGAAACAAGATTATTTGCCTAATTAATATAATACCAGTAGTAGTAGTACACTAGCACATACATGAATATGTTTTTCATCACGTATAAATCATAAAACACAATCAAAGGAGGTGTGTAAATAGTGCTAAAGTCAAAACGTGTCAACTAAAAAAATGGAGGTAGTATTAGTTTTCAAGAAATTACCTGCAAGAACGGCAAGAGTGTTCCAGCGGCCTACACCATGGGTAGCAATGGCCGAGGAAAGCTTCGAGTCTTCTTCAGGAATCCATGGACCTTGTCGCAATCCATTGTTGAGAAGCTCATCTTCCTCGTCTCTAACAACCCTAATAATTGATTCCCACCTTTCATTCGTATAGTATGCATTATTAGAGCTTGATGAACTCTTTTGATACTCCATGTTAAGATCGATCGACCTGGATATATATGTTTATAAGTGACTTATTATACGAAAAGATGTTATTTTTTATAAGGCTGAGAAGATTAATTAGCTTGGGAGAATGCAATAATGATATACGGGTTATCTTTATATATAGTCGAAATCCTAAGTTAGTACGGACATACATTACATGGGATATAGTAGTAGTAGTGACAAATAGGTACTATTAACCAAGGAATAATCAGCATTAAAGCATGCACATTTATTGTTAAGATAGTAAGCTTGACTAGAAAAAACAACTTTAATTTAGTGACTACTTACTATTAGTTTCCTTCATTGCAGAATATATTCCATATGCTAGCTGTAATATTGTAACAGGCGTAGTATACTAACGAATTGAAGATCGAATTTTTTTATAGTCAAAAGAATTTCAACACTTCATTTATCTTCAATGTAAAGAAGAAGGAAACCGGCCAATAGTCATAAGATTAAGACCACTCGAGTTTTCAGCAATGAAACAAAGTTAATACTCCCTTTTTCGATATATAACCGATTATTTTTGTTTTATTATACAAGTATAAGATAACCACCGAACTTAATCAAAAATTTAAGCAGCTATTATGGTTAATGAAATCAAAATTGATCGTTTTTGTGACCTGTAATATAATCTGATTTGTAATATTGTATTGTAATAATTACGATACACATACTTTTTGGTGTATGTTTGTGCTACTTTAGCTTATTACTCTGTACATTAGCCTATGAGGTTTGCAAAGTTTATATATAGGCCGGGTAGCCCCCTGTTATTTTTTAACCTTATACAAATAAAATAAAATAAAATAAAATAAATAATATACTACTGCTTGATTTATGATTATAAGAATAAAGATAAATTACAAGCAGTTTAATAATACTTTAATGTTGGCATTATTATATTTAATAACGTAAGACATATTTAAAGGCATTAAAGTTTGTAAGACGTACGTAGAATAAGATATTACATAGTGCGTGCTATGCATTTATGCATGCATGAGTGCCATCTACGAGTTGAAGCATATTAAAATAATACTACGTATAGCAATAATATGTACGAAGTATATACAGCTTATAGCTAGATAAATTGTGTATAATCGGGCAATTATAGATAGACATCCAAAAGCATATTCATATAATTATATAATTGGTCAAATAAAACTTTTGAAAGTAAAGAATGATTCTGGTAATTGATAATTTGATCATTGACCAGTTTGTTGACCATCTTATCTTAGACAAGAGCAACAGATAATAGCCAGAATTTAATAACCCCCCCTTTTTTTCATTTTTATAGCTCTCCTTACTAAATGAGCTTCAACGTGTATAACTGTATGTTCGCCAACCATCATAGCTAACTCTAAATCAATTAGCGAACACACTTTTAAAAAAATCCCAAATATTGTCAAAATCACAAATACTGTCATCTATATTTAAACTTAGGTAAAAATTACAAATATTGTCAAAATGATACGTGAATAATGCATAAATCAAAGAAAGACATTTAATTTGAAATAGAAGGAAAATGCATGTGATGGTAGTATTTAGAGAATAGTTTAGTACGTCATGTTGGTGAGCAAAGAAAATTCTTTAATCCAACGTATGTAGTTATCTGATCCGATGAACTAATGAATCTTTGAAAACACGAGTGCATGGCCACATAAAATTGGGAGTAATAATCGATCTATCCACAAATATGGCGAAACACCTCTACCTCTATATATATAACTTTACATTATGGTCGGCGACGAATTGAACTTTTGAAATCCACAACGAACATTCGCTTTTACGTAGTACCAGTACACATCTATTATTATTATTAAGATTTTGTTATACTTTTTTAAGGATAAATCTTGATTTTAAATGGTTGTGCGTGACAACTTAGAACTTACAATGGGTAATTAATGTTTCGTGTAATTTTCCACTAACTTCAATTCAATTCGTCCTTGGTCAACTTGATCCAGATTTTAATGGTTAATTGGTTATGTAATGTAATTAATGTTAATTGGTCGAAAGTAATCCATAAAATAATATAGATTATTTATAATATTGAATAATATCTCTTTTTAGTTTGATCATCTCTGGATGAATATTATTTAGCCAAATTACAGGAATAACATCGATACATTTTAATCAATACGGATAAAGACAACCCAAGCCAAGCCAAGAGTCTTACATAAGAAGAGCTTACAGGGAAAACATGCGTTAGTTGCTATATTATATATTGAACTCCAAGTTGGTGATTCACTTTTTTTTTTTTGAAAGAAAGCGGTCAGTGCAATTAATTCAACGAAATATTGTCCAAGAGTACATACGGGGAAACCTCATTTGGAACAAGATTTTCCCACACTTGCTCACGACCACACGGCACTAACCTAGCTAGGTGATGGGCAACAAAATTACCCTCACGCTTTACATGGGACCAAA